AGCATCCAGGCATGTGTGTGCACATACGTGATCTGCAGAGTAACCTTGGGACAGTTACTTGGCCTCCAAGTAGGCAAACAATCAGCAGAAGCCCCTTGCCCCCACTTTCCCTCCAGTTACATCCACAAAGGGCCCAGAGAGCAGCCAAGACTCAGATCACTGTACTGGGACACTGTACCGTTCACCCCAAGGGTTCCCAGTGTCCCGGTTAAGCCCCATCTGGGGAGTCTCCTGGGCGAGGGAGACCCCAGATGCCTCTCACCCGGTGCGTGTCAATGAGCTCGCCCACGGTGATGTAGACGACTGGCTTGGCGACCGCCACCAGCTCCGAGTACTCGTCCACGTTGAATCTCTCTTCTGGCTCGGGCACTGAGCAGGCCGCGTGGATGAATCTCCTGCAGGAGAAAAAGGGATCCTGCCATGAGTGCTGGTCCCAGCCTGGACTGCAGGGAACGGGGGCAACCGACTGGGCAACTCAGAAAAGCAGAGACCTCCAGCATCCGTGCCCAGCAGCCCCTTGAGGATGTAGCACGGCCCTCTGCCCCTTTACGGGTTCCATTAGGGCCCATCATAGCAAGGTGGTTGCCAGTCTCATTCCCCTGGGAAGACATGGAGTCGAGGATGCCCAGAACAGCACAGCACTGGGCCTGCCTTAGTTCACAACTCCCCCAAATCTGCTCCATGTCTGTACAGTACCTAGCACCATGGGGTCCTGGGCCATGAGCAGGACTGATTCCCCTTGGGCATTGCTCTTATGCTAGGGGATTGTTACCTGGCTGGCCTCATCATAGGAAGAGGCTGAACTGTGTACTGGGCCCAGCGCAGACAGGACAGGACAGGACTTCTCCTCTCCAGTGCAAAACATTTCACAAGCCTGCTGCCCCTCCGAGACCCAGTCTGGGAAAGCAGTACCTGCATCATTAAGCCCTTGTGCCTAAAGCGTTATTTCTAATTATGGCCAATTAATTCACCAGGGTTACCAGCCATGCAGTTTAATTGCCACCTGCTCATTTCCTGGCTGCTCCACTGACCAGCACCTCCAAATTCAAGTGGACGGCTGACAACTGTTTGTAGGCGTTGCCCCTGATGCTGGCAGTACAAGAGGGGTGGGAGGGAAAGGGCGTGGGTTTGATCGGCTTTGGAGAGGGTTTAGCATCACCTGTGCAAAGGGGAGGTCTGTGCAAGGAGCCTTCCTCTGGGCAGGGCAGGGATAAAACCAATTTGATGAAAGCTGAGACCAAGACTATGTCCTCTAGGGGAGTGCAATCAAAGTGACAAAAAGTGACACCCCCCACCCCCCTCCAGCATGGATGCAGCTCTATTGGTATAAAAGCCGTCACTAAGGCTTGAGCTGAGCGACAAAAATGAAACCAGCACAAACTCAGGTGTGCTGGGCCAGAGGCGAGGACACATTGGGGGTGAAAATGCAGCCCCAGCAGGATGGCACTAAGGCAGGCAAAAGCTCAGTGAAAAGCAGCAGCAAAAGGATGGCCTGGTGGCTAAGGCATTGGCCTAGAGAACTCAGACTCCCAGGGCCTCAGCTTGCCCACCTGGAAAGTGGGCATAAGCAATGCCCATCTTTGGCTCTTCATCGGGATCCCTTGAGAGGGCAGAGGCTGCTATGGGCACATCCAACCCATGGTACTGCGGAGCACTGACCTGAACTTGTCGTGCGTCTCCTCCAGGTAGCGGTTCACCCCATTCAGGTGGGCACTCTCGCCCTCAAAAGGCTTGTAGGCCACGGCGTGCTGCAGCACTTTGGCGATGGAGCCCAGGTTGCGGCGGTGGTCGGGGTGCAGAGCCATGGCGGCCGAGACATCCACGATGTCGAAGCCATCGGGGGCCACCACAGCCGGGTTCATGAAGCGGTAGTAGAGCAGGTGTCCAACGATCTGGGTCCCAAGAGAGGGAGGGTCAGGCTTTGCATTGGCACTGGGGTCCCAGATGTGACCGCAGAAGCCCTTGATCCAGGGTAAAGACATATGGACTCACCTTTGGGGTGAACAGTGTGGGGCTTGGGACACATGGTCCAGAACGGCCCATCATTACTCATAGGGTACAGCACACTGCAGACATACATGCCTGCCTGCCCCCGCCCCCTGACAGCCACAAATGCTGGAAATAGATCCCCAGTCACCTTGGGATGCACAAGGCCACATCACCACTGTAATAGGCAGCCTGGTATAGGGCTGTGCCCAGCCACTCTGGACCCAGAAGCTCACCCTGCAGCCCCAGACACAGCCCTGCCTCTCACCACGGCCCCCCTGCACCCACCTTGCAGACCTCATCCTCGGTTGCCTCTGGGAACTTCTCCGCCAACAACGTCTTCAGGACTTTGGCCACGTAGCGCATCCCGTAGCTGGATGAAGCCAGAGAGGCAGCCCATCAGCACAGGGGCCCAGGCCAGGCTGAAGGGGACCACGGGAGCCTCTCATTTGACCTGCAGAGCCCAGGCTGGGGAGATTGTGCAGCAGAGCCAGGATTTCTACAGGAGCATCTTAAGCCTCCTCAACCTCCTCCCCCTTCGCCCAATATTAGAGGGGAAACTGAGGCACAGAGCAGAGGAAGGGAATGCTCCAAGGTCATGCAGGACGATCAGGGCCAGAGGGTCCCTGTTCCCACAAGAGCAGGGCCCATGGGACTCCTTGTACATACGGGATCTTATCCACGGAGGAGGTGATGGCGGAGACGAACTTGTCCGTGGCTGCCAGGAGGTTGTGGATGGAGATGTCCAGTCGTCTCTGAACCTCGGCGTGGCTCAGGGCCTGCTCTGGGCTCACATTGTATGGGAGCTGGCTGGGGGTGGGAGACGCACACGCTGCTAAGAGTCATGGCACAGGCCAAGATGACCCAGCTTCCCCAGACCCCCCCACCCCCCCGCAAAAAAAAAACCCACTCTGACCTACTCTGGCCACTCTGGGACTCTGTCTGGTTGACCCAAGCCTTGTAGATGTCCACAGGATCAGTGCGGATGTTGAGAGCCTTGTCCTGCAGGACATCTCGCACGGGCCCCTCCAGAATCTGGCGTAGGGCGTTCTGCCCGCGGGAGTTGCGGTAGAAGCTCACCACCAGCCGGATCACTGTAGGATTGCCCGTCAGGATCTCGTGGGGGTGATCCACCTTGGACCTGGCAGAGAGGGGACCAAGAGAGGCAACTCGGATCAGGGTGGGAAGGGTCCGGTCGCCCCAGACAGGGCCTAGAGCAAAGTAGGAGACCGGCAGCCAGTCATTACTGCATGGAAAGGACTTGCCAGGTTGGGACAAGGGTGAGGAGGGCACAAGTCCTGCTGGGAAGGACCCCTAAACCCTATGCCTACAGGTTCAGGTGCCAGGATGGGGCTTGGCCATCAACACTGAGACAGATCTGAGGCAGTCCCCCAGCTCCCTCTGCCCTCACTCCAGGGGGAACAGGGAGTCCTACATGTCCTGGCGGGACCCATCTCCCCACCCCCATGGGTACCACAAGCAGGACCTACCGGATCTCTTCTTGCAGGGCAGTGCTGAAGAGCTGCAGGAGCAGGTAGCCCTCGCGGGCATTGGAGGCATAGTTGTACAGGGAGAAGACCACCGACTCCATGAACTTCGTGGACTTGTTCTGGGGCATCTGGAAGATCAGCCGGGCCAGGTATACGGGCTGGGTCTGCAGGTACATGGGCAGGGGTCAGGGCAGCTGGCCCCAGGCTTCAGCCAGCAGGCGGGGCTCTGCTACAGGTCAAGTCCCTTCCCCTCCATGCCTCCTTCTCCCTCACCCTCAGTCCTGCTTTGCCAAGGTCTGAGGCCATGAGTTTACATGCAAAGCCCAGTTCTGTGCAACCTCAAAGCGCTCCTCCCATGAGTAGCTGGCCTGTGGGCTAGCACGACTCATCCAGACCAGCTCCCGTAGTCAATGGCACACAAGACAGCGATGCAGTGAGCCCCAACTCCCTCCCCCGAATGACATGGGACTGTCTTCAAATGGGGGCTGTATTCCTGCCTCTGGGCCCACAGCTGGATGCCGCAACCCCTTCTTCCATTACCCCCAGCAGTGCTAGCAGACAGAAGCAAATTCATGCCTGGCCTAGTCACCAGGGCTGTCCTGAGTTGCCTTCACCTAGCCCCACTCCCATCTCCAAGGATCAGACAGGAGTTCAGGGGAAGGATTTCTTTCCAAGAGGGACCTGGTGCCAAGAAGGATGTGCCAGGACTAGGGGCTTCCCTGCACTAGACACAAACCAGAGCTGGGGCAGAGGGTCCAGCACACCAGGTAGCAGGATCCAGGGTGGGAAGAAAGCCCCGTGAATCTATTTGATTCCTCACTGAGCCACTAATAAGCCAGGCCCAAGCACTTGGACAGCACCTGGGACTGGACTGGGGGGAGCAAGGAAGCAGGCCCATTGGGGGATCCACTCAGACTCCATTGCCCTAGTAACAAGCCCCCCACCCCCCATTCACCTGCAGCAGGTAGAAGAGGTGCTGGTAGGCCTCCAGCTTCTGGCGCTTCTCTTTGCTCAGTGCCTTGATCCCCTTCTGCTTGTCCAGGGCCATCATGTCTGACAGCTGCTCCTTGTTCTTCTTGGTCAGCTTCTTGCAGTGGGAGACCACCTCCTGCACAGGCCGGGGGAGCGAGCCAGGGCCCAGAGGGGTTAGGGGCATAAGGCATTCAGGGAAGTGGACTTCCAAGACCCCTTGGGATCCTCCAGCCTTCATGCTTTGCTGCGTCTCGTGCCTGGATCACACCCAGCCTGGCTCTACCTTCCCCCCACCCCGTTGACAAGGGAAAACAGGACAGCTCACTGGATAGAGCCTGGGAACAAGACTGGCACCAGGGGTCCATTCCCACCTCTGCTGCTGGGGGTGGTCGGGTTCCTTTCCTGTGCCTCAGTTTCCCCACAAACTAATCTGCTTTGTCAAAGGCATTAAGATCTACCAATGGGACACACTGGATAGGGGCAGGGCAAGGGGAAGGGCGGTACCAACTGAGGACCCAACCAACCCAAGGCTCTGAAGCCGCTGGAGAAGTTCACCTCTGGTTTCAGTAGGATCTGGTTTTGGTCCCAAAAGGACTATACACAGTCCTGCTGGCTTAAATTAGGACTGAAAATCCTAAGGAAAAAGGCAGGATTGGAACTGGAACATCTTTTCAGAGGGGAGCGGGATTCCATAGGCAACAGTAGGTGTCTAAACCCCTTAGGCTCCTTGAAAAGCCTGGCCTTCATCCATGTCAGAGCAGCTCCAGATTTCTCCTGGTATTGCAAAAACTGGCCTCGTATTTCAGGGGGGGGAGATCACATGACTACCGAAATGCCCCGTCCCCCACCCCTCATGACCTCTGACCTGTAGCGTGATGCGGTTCCGCACCAGCAGCCCGATCTTGATGTCCATGAGGTTAAGGTCGCTCTCCAGGCGCTGATTGGAGCGGATGCGCCTCACCACGTCCCCCCGCAGCCGCAGCCCCTCCGCCTCCTCCCAGAAGTCGTGCTGGCTCTGCTCCAGCAAGTGCACGAAGCGCCGCACGATGCCCAGTGGCGGGTCCCTGGCGCGGACTGTGAGGGCAGGCAGTTACTACCGGACGTAGCACGGAGCAACTTCTGCACCGATCGCCTTACTCTGGGATAAGCAGGGGGCACACGCCCCCAGCTTGATCCAAAATGGCACGAAACCAGTGATGGGAGCAGATGCATGTCACGTACCTCAGAGCAACCTTCTCCAGCATTCGGGTTACACCAGACACTGTCTCCTCCAGAGCTCCACTGACCATGCATCTGCTCCCCCATTTTATCTAGGTTTGCACCTTAAAGACTAGCTAAAATAAGAGCTGCCTATATAGAGGAAGCCTTCCTTTGATGGGTTTAAGTGACAGCTAATCCAGCCATCAGCAACCAACACTGGCAGGATAAAAAGGGGCCCTTTGAGAATCCTGTTCCATACACAGGGGCTTCCCTGGCCAGTCTGGAGCTGGCATACAGACCCTGCTCAAGTTCATGGCCGGAGCACACAGTCCTAGGGAGATCTACCATGTTCCAGGGCCAGAGAAATTAAGAGCAATCTCAGGGCTCTTCCAACTGACCCTGGAAGAGCTGGACCGAAGGCGAGGGTTGCCACGGTGCTTTAGGACCACCCCACCTGCCACCATTGCTCCTGTGCCCTGGGCACAGCAGAGGAACGAGAAGCCAGGCAGTTAATTATAGCCACTTGTGAGCAGAAGACAGGCAGGCACTTACCCAACACCCTGTAATCCCCACGGGCCTTGTTAGCTCGCACAAAAGCCTGGATTTTAATTACAGCAGTAATCTGTCAAGACAAACAAAGGGGGAAAAGGAGGCGAGTGTCCCCTGGCAGCCCGGTGGCAGCAGAGGGAGCACTCGCCAGGCGCCAGCCCTGCCGTCAGGCCAGCTGTGGGCACAGCAAGGGGAGGCCTCTCACTGGAAGCATCTGCCACCGCCCCTGGCCTCGTGGGTCCTAGCCCCAACTCAGGGAGACAAGGCATCCCTGCTGAATCAGTACCCAGGACTGGTCAGTGCTGGATCAGTCCCCAGGACACCTGGGTTTTACTTCAGATGGGATGCTGCACATGTGTTCCTGGAGGCAGATGCCCCCTTCTGCCTCAGTTTCCCCTCACCTGGAGACACAGGGTGCAGGACCTTCTCTGGTGGGTGCAGGCATGAAGGGGAGGCCCTGCACCCGTTGCTTCCAGGTGAGGAGAAACTGAGGCAGAAGGGGGCATTGGGTGCAGAGCACAGAGCGGGAACGGTTTAAAAGTACCCTCAGTAGCTGCTGTTTAACAAGAGAATAGTTTCCTGCTGTAGCCCCCCTGCCTCCACCCACGACCATGACCTTGGGCCTGAGACTCCCAGGGCCTTGATCCCCTGCCCCTGAACCTGCCAGCCCACATGCGGCCTCTGTAGCCTGGCATCCATAGCAGTGGCTGTGGCCGCCTGCAGCCACCCTGCCTCCTTCCCCTTTCCCCTGGGGACCCTCGGGCTTCGGATACATGGCTCCCCCCCCCAGCACGGGGTCCATCATCAGCCCCCTGCCCTGGGACATGGGGCTGGGCTGCCAGGTTAACCCCTCGAATGCTAGAGAGCAAGTTTTGCCAAGTCCCTTGTGAGGGGTTCGTGCTTGTTACAGTGCAAGGAGCACGGGTACACGCAGGGGATGCAGAGCTTGCCTGGGCTCCTGCCAGACACATGCACACGCGTATCCCTCACTCACGTTCTTCCTAAAGTAGCGCAGCCTCTCTTGGTACCTCCTGCGAGCTTGCCACATCCTCACGCATGCCTGGAGCTTGGGAGGGCAGAGACAGACCGGGTTGTGCTTAGCGGGACATGGGGAACAGCATATTCACGGGTTCCAGCTGACCCACATCCCATTGGCTACAATGAAGGGGTCGTGCTGCTCTCACCGTGTTCTCAGCCAGATCCCAGCCATTGTGCTTATTAATAAATCCAAAGCTGGGAAACTATAGTTTCATTTCCCCCCTCGCAACTAGACCCCATTCGCTCCTGTCCCAAATCCATCACATAGCCCAGCTGCAAAACAGCCCCTACGCTCCTCCCCAGAGGTGGCCGCAGGGTGTAGTGCCTCCCCAAGTCTTTCAGGGTGTCACTGCTCGCAGGACCAAGGCCTGGGGGGCAAGATCAGAAGGATCCAGCAGGGTCCTGTACCTTGATCACCGCAGACGTGTTTGCTTGCAAGTATCTCAGTCTTTGCAGGTAGGCACGGCGCTGCTGGGAACCTCTCCACCAGGCCTGGATGTGAAAGAAGACCCACAGCCCTCCCGGTTATTAGCGCTGTGTAAGAGCTGGGCCACTCACCCCCATGCCTTGACTCCTGTAGATCCTTTTGGAAACAAAAATAAGAGCACCCCTGGAAGAACCTAGGTTGCAAGGGTGAGGGTGCAGGCTTTTAATTGCCATCACTGCTGGGGCATCATTTACTCTGCTCCCCTTCCCTGACCCCCTGGACCTGCCGGGTCCAGCCGGGGAACAAGAGCTGTGCAGAGGCTGGACAATAGGGCTCCGGTCTGGGCTGGCCCCTGGGCAACACCGCAATAGACCCTGCGCTTACAGATAACCCCAAGGACATCAGGACCCACCACCCACTGTCACCTGGATCCTGATGGCTGCTGGGAGATGTTCCCGCAGCAAATGCCGGCGGGCGGCGAAGTCCCGGCGGACAAGAAGCCCCCGCAGACGGGCCTGCAGCCGCACCACGAGCCCCACATGGGCTTCCCACAGGCGCTGCCGGTCATGGGCCACGGTCACGCTGGCGATTGTGGACTACAGAGAAGGAACGAGGTGGTCAGTTCAGTGCCAGCAACATGGGGGCCCGGATGCCAATGAGTGTGTGTGCATGCCAGGGGATCTGGGCACCTGAAGCCAGGCAGGGAAGTCCCATTCAGCACCTTTGCCAAAGCGGCTGGTGCCAGTCAGGTCCCCCTAAGGCCAGGGTGGAGCCACAAACCAGAGGTTTGCAGCTGGAGCTACTGCTGACCCAAATCTCTGCCAGCAGTGCACTGGAGCCCCCAGGCCCCAGCTGCTGTGAGCAACAAGCTGCTTGGGGATGCAGCCAGGGGGCCAGGTGTTCAATACAGCCCCCACGTCTTTCCCCACCTGGATCTCGTCCCGGCTGAGGTGCGTGGGGTGCAGGACGCAGCCCTGCGGCCGCTCCCAGGTACCCTCAAACGTCTGCAGGCTGAAGTAGTACTCGGTCCCGTCCTTCAGCTGATGCCGCACCCAGGGGTGCTTGATGTTTCCTGGGTGTTGCCAGGGAGAGAGAAGCAGGTCAGGGAGGGGTGTCTCTTACACACACACACACCCCCTCCATCACAGTAGCCTCATACATTGTCAAGGGCTGGGTAGGTTAAAGCCTTTGGAACTGGACTGTCCATATGCAGGGACTCCCAAAGCCCCATCCCAGACAGGCTGAGCCCAGAGCTCTCTGCTCCCAGCCTGTCTCTTGCTCCTACCCTGCCCCTACCTAGCTCCCAGCCGCCTCCCTGGCTCCTTCCTTCCTACCCACCCTCCTCCATCCCATTTCCAGCTCTTCTCCTGGCCCTTGAGGCCCAAAGCAGCCCTGCCCTTCGTCTCCCCACCTCCCTGGACGTGACGTTATCCTTCCCCACCAGTCCCCATCTCCAATGCATTGGGCCTCTCAGCCTGTCCTGAGGGACATGGGCCCATTTTGCAGGGGGACAGTGAAGATAGAGACAAGTGACTTGACCAAAATCAGCCCAGAGGCGATGGCAGAGCTGGGCCTCATGCCCAGGCCCTGTGTTCTAGGCAAAATGGCACCATCTCCTCCCTTGCAGCACCCCAGTCCTTCACAGTGCTCAGTGCTGTACAAACCCAGCCCCCACCCACAATGGAGGTGCAGGACACTACGCTGCCAGCCGAGGCAGGAGGGCTTGGTCCCCTTTACCTGACAGGCCCTGGCACGCCATGAGGGCAGCAAGTTGCGCCTGGTAGGCCCCAGCACAGTCGGGCACGACACCGCACAGGGCGACATCTGGGTTGCGCAGCACACGCACCGTCTGGGCTGGCTTCCCCTCCTTGATGGCCTGGTTGATGGCTGCAATGCCAAGAGCCACTGCAGGAGGCAAGGAAGGGGTTACACACACACACACACACACACACACACACACACACACACACACACACACACACCCATCACAAACCCAGAAGTCCCTGGGATGGACATTGCACCTCATGCCCTGTGGGAATGGAGATTCTCGGGGGTACAGAGCACTCCCAGCTGCAGCCAGGCAAGCTGAAGCCCAAGGGAAAGGGACAACTGAGGTCCTCACACCCCTGATCCTCCGACCCGGGGCTGGGTAGCATGCGGGCATCCCAAACTTGGCCCCCACAAGGCGTCAGACCCGAGTCTCATGTGACCCCGCCAGCAGGCGGTCCAGGGACAGTAGACAAAGAGCAGTGATGGCCCTATGCTCCTACTTCATAGAGCTAAGCAGAGCATTTGGGGCTACATTCATAGAAAATGAGGGTTGAAAGGACTTCAGGAGGTCACATTTAGTCCAATCCCTGCTCCAAGCAGGACCAGCCGCAACTGCATCATCCCAGCCAAGGCTTTGTCTAGCTGGGTCTTAAACACCTCCAAGAATGGAGACTCCGCCACCTCTCTGGGGAGTGCTCCAGTGCTTCACCCTCCCAGTGAGAACATTTCTCTTAATATCCCACCTCAGCTTCCCTTGCTGCAATATTGTGCCAAAAAAGCCCATTTGAAGGCCCTGAAGTATCTGGCAGTAGTTTAGGGGCTGCAAAAAGGCTTGAGAGGAAGCAGCCAGAGAAGGACACCCAATTCCTCCCACCTGGTCTTTCTGGGCCACAGCTCCAGGCCAAACCCAGCTCCGAGATAGCCCCCAAGCCCAGATCTGCCCTTACTTCTCCTTGTTGCCTCCGTGTCCCGATTAGCTTTGGCCACACCATGCTGGATCTCTTCCCACCAGAGTGTGGCGTCCTCATCCCGTGTCACCTGCAGGACAGGACAAGGGATGCTGAGGAGCAGCCAAGGACAGCTTCCACTCCCCACAATGCAACCACTTCTGGGGAAGCAATGGCAGCAAAGAACAAGGCAGATGGCCTCTGGCTTAAAAGGCACCAGAACAGGGATCAGAGACAGGATCCTGGTTTTAAACACCTGAAGTGATGGGTTGTCCACCCTGCCACGTGGCTGGGGTTGGAGCATCCTACCTGGGCTTTCTGCCGCCGGGCACTGGTCAGGACATCATGATAACGTCTAGCAACCGGGAGTGTCACGCTGGAGAGCCCCGCTGAGGGCAGCAGCAGGGCTGTGAGGGTCTTCTCTGGGTCATCCTGCCACAGCGCCTCATTGATGAGCTCCACGGCGAGGATCTCTGTAGGGGAGAGGGGACGAGAGCTGAGTCAGCCTGACCGCTGCCACACGGAAAGGGGCAGGGCAGGGAGCACAGCACACCGGACACTCACTCTCGCTGTCCTCCTGCACTGCGGTGTTGGTGCGGCTCACGCAAGCCTGGAGGTCGTTCCAGCTCAGGAGTGTAGCCCCCCGGGGCCCAGCCTGGCGCTGGCAGCTCAATAGGTCATCCACGTAGCTGGAGTGGAAAGAAGACAGCAAGCTTAGGATGTAGCAATGCAGAGACGACAAGGCAAAGCTCATGGCAAGACCATAAGGAAGGGAACCCAGGAGTCCTGGCCCCAGCGCAGGAGAGAGGAGCAGATCCCAAACATCCTGCTTTCCAAGCATGCCCCCTGCCAGTAGAAGCCTTGTAGCTTATTCCTGGCCAGCACCACCTGTTCATAGTCAGCACGTGGACCGTCTGCCCGTGCTGGTGCCCCTACTCACCGCTGAGCATTGGCCTCCTCCACATCAGACAGCCCCAGGCTGGGGCTGACCAGGCTGCTCCAGACCCCATGGACATCCCCAGCTTCCAGTGCCTGGTTCACCAGAGCCACGGCCGACAGCATCTCCACAGCCACGAAGAGCTCCTCCTGTGCCAGCTCTCCCTGACAGCAGGAGACATGGTGAGACCTTGGCAGAGGCCATGGGACATAGGGGAGCCTGTTCCCTCAGTGGGGAAACTGAGGCAGGAATTTTCTCTCTGAACCACTTGCCACAGCTGTCCCAGGCAGAGCCAGGAGTGGGAGCCTGGTCTCCTGGGTTCCCTGCAAAGCTGCCCCCAACCCGCCCACAATCCTGCCTGCAAAAGCAATGAGTTTGAGGCCCAGAGGAGATTCCCTTGGGGATGGAGGGGGCTTCAGGCTGGACTCAGCCCACCTGTGTATGCCAGTCTGTACCAGTACCTACAGTCAGCCCCATGGGCAGCTGCCATGAGGGCAAATCCATATTGACAGTAGGAGAACAACACAGAGAGGCCAATTTGGAGGCCAATTTTGTGCATGAGCTTTCCAGTTTCCAAAGCTGAGGAGTCTGGAGCAGCTAGCTGGCTGTAGGGGTAAAACTGGTTTAAAAATCTTTGGGGGCATGTTTACATGGAAGGCTGGTTAATTCAGATTGAAAAAAAAAAGGTGGGGGTAGGGAGGAAGAGAGATCATTCAGTTTAAATCTCTCAGTTCTTCAGGGAGAAAGACTTTTGTCCTGGGATCCTACAGGCTAAAAATCAGACCGTCACCACCTTGGACTCGTCTATAAACAAGCGTGGGACAGATGGAATAGCAATTAGCTCAGGTTAGCCGAAATGGTCCCAGGGCAAATTCGGATACTTCCCAGGTACCAGACATGCGACAATCCCAGCATCAGACTCTGGATAGAGATGCCAGAATGAAAGGGTAAATCCCAGGTCTGTTTTTGACTTGGATCCATCAGAACCGCCTCAAATGCAACCTCGGTTTTCAGTCTCAGATTAAAAGGGAAGATAGCACGGGTCAAGGAGGGCTGCTGGGCATTTCAAGAGGAATCACTACTCTGGATTAACTCTGTGTAGACACTGACTCCTGAATACCAGCACTTGCACAAGGGGGAACTAAGCAGGAAGCTGCAGGGGAAGAGCATGACCCTGCCGGGCTCCAACTCTGGACATGTCTCCAGAGACTCCAGCCCTGGTCCTCACCTGTGGGTGCTGGCGCTGGAGCAGGCCCAGCTCGTGCTGGTACAGCAGGGCGGCGAAAGCATGCACCTCGGGCAGCTGAGCTGCGGGGCTGGCAAGAGCCTCCACCGTCTCCTCTGGCTGCCCTCGGCGCAGCACGGCATTTATGTGGCTCACAGCCTGCGCCACTGTGGGATACAGGAGACAGGCACAGCTCAGCACCCGGGGACTGGTGCCCATCGCAGAACCCAACTGCTGGGCAAGCCCCACCCCACGCAGCTTGCACCCAAGGGATGGAGCCACTGCTCAGAGATGATCTAGGTGTAGCCCTACCTGTGTCCTACTACGAGGACTTCCCCTGCTCCTAGGCTCTGCTGGTTGCCCCCTCTCCCCCTTTCTGCTACGTGTCAGGGTGTTTTGAAGCCTCCCCGCGAGGCACTGGGTTCTGGCTGCAGCCCAGGCTGGGGACAGGGACTGGGCTGTGCCAATGCTCCTGCTGAGACTTAAACCCAGAGGGTCCTAGCAAGAGGGTCTTGCCCCTCCGATCAGGGTCAGACCAATGTCAGATTTGGGGTCAGGAAGGAATTTTACCTCCTGGCCAGATTGGTATGGACTGAGGGTGTTTTGCCTTCCTCTATGGTGGGGGAACAGCCTCTGCCTGGGATCTCTGGAGTGTATGTTGATGTCAGCCGCTGTGGTCCCCCTACTTTCCACGGGGCAAGTTCAGGTATGATGTCTCGTATTGTGCATTGGGGTGACAATAGTTTTACAAAGAATTTGGACAATGGATGCGTCTGGGATGGTTTGGTCAGGGCTGATCCTGCCTCAGGCAGGGGGCTGGACTAGTTGTGACCTCTGCAGGTCCCTTCCAGCCCCACATCTCTAGGATGCTATAGAGCCCATAGTCAGCCTCTCTCTGCTGTGGGCAAAGAAACTGGTGTAGTGGGGGTGGCAGCCAATGCAGCCTCCTGCTGAGCCCCCAAGTTGGGCAAGCAGAGGGCAAGAAGCCTGGCTCTGGCTCCAGGGGTGTAACAGCAGTCCCTTCCTCTGGCAGCTGAGGGCTCGGCCTCACTCACTGGCACGTTCCTGCTCTCCCCTCTCGTTGGCCGCGTCGACGCCTGCCTGCACCTCCTCCTGCTCCAGTGGATCCACGAAGCCCAGCTCCTGCAGGCAGCAGAGCGACAGGGGATCTGGCCCAAGCTACTCCCAGGTCCAACCAGGGGAGCTACGGAGTCACCCGTGGGTCCAAGGGGCATCAGGTCTGCACCCCTGGCTCCAAAACCCCCCAAGTGCAGCTCCCAGGATGTGACCCCCAACCTGGCTCTGCCTCCCCCCAGGGGCATCTCAGCAGCTCACCAGGGCTTTCTGCTCCCGGTCAGTGCTCAACTGATCCAGGTACCAGTCGCTGTTCTCTCGCTGCACGAGGCGGAGGGCCAGGACGGGGTCCCGCAGAGCCTGGTACAAAGCCTGGGAGTCCTGTCTCTCCAAGGCATCATCCACATACTCCAAGGCTCCATGCACTGGGATGAGACCAGTTGGCCCAGTGACCTGCAGCCCTTGGCTCAGCTCTCTGCTGCAGCCACAGCCCCACGCACAGGGAAACCCTGGCTCCAGGTTGCAAAACCCTGGAAAACCAGAGCAGGGACCCTCCCAGCAGGTCCCATGTCCTCCTTCCCCACAGTCCAGGCCAGTGCTCCAGGACTCACACGGCACCAGACACAATGCTCTGCTCACCGTTGACTTTGTTGATGCTCCCTTGGATCTCGGCCTGGGTCAGACACCTGTCATAGATGTCCTCAGCCTCCGGGATCTTCTGCGGGTACTGAAAACAGAAGCATGGCCTTGAAGTCTCCGGCTGTGCCTGGCTAGATGGGGCACTCAGCAGAGCTATCGCTGTGTTGTCCCCCCTACCCCACAAAAATGGACAGGACAGAGCCAGGTGCATGCTCCTCTTCCACGTACACACATAGAACAACAGCCTCCTGATGCTGCTGCCAGCTCCTTCCCCCAGCGCGGTGCCCTTACCCTGTTCTGGGCATTGCCTGCCTTCTCCGCCTTGGCCTGGTAGAGCATCTCCTGATAGACAGCAGCAAGGTCATCCCTCAGACTGAGCAACAGGGCGCTGGGGTTGTGCAGGGCAGCCAGGGTCTGTTCCACCACGCCTCTCTCCACGGCCTCGTTGATGGCCAGCACGGCGGCGTGGACTAGCGGACCCATGACAGGGAGAGAGAGGCACACATATAGCATCACGGGGCAAGAGTGTATAGGGTTGTACAGGCAGCGTGCAGCTCCCCAGACTCGTGGGAGCCCAAGCAAGACCAGGACGTGCTCATTGATGGCTGATGTACTCTCCCTGCTGGGGTGAAGGGGAAATGGGGAGGAAACAAGTGCCAGCTGCAATGCAATTGTGCCCTGCCACCATGGCCCCACAGGGTCCTGGGTGTGAGCTGAGGCTCTGGAAATTCAGACAGTTAGAGCTACAAGGGCAGTGAACAGCAGCAGCCCCCGGCCTGAGCCCCAGCTCTCCCGCTTCACACCAACAGCACCCGGCCTGAGCCCCAGCTCTCCCGCTTCACCTGCTGCCTCGTCTCCTGACAGTTCGTTGGCCAAAATTCCCCCGATCTTGCTGAACGCCGGCAGCTGCAGGCCGTACTTGTCCAGCTCCCGGCGCATGTGGGTGATCTCTGCCTCTGGGAGGTGGGAAAAAGCAAGCTGGGTCAGCCACGCACCCCGCCCAGGACAGCACTTTTCTTCTCGATGGAGGGCAAGGCAGAGTCCAGGGAGGGGGACACCTCACCCAGCCATGCAGATGGACCGCGAGACCAACTTGCTGATGCCAACTGACAAGCTCAGCATGCAGGCAGAGCTCTCAGCCAGAGCTGCCCTGGGGCTGGCAGAGACCTACTGGCTGCTCAAGCCCAGCCCCAACAAATGCAGGTAACCATGGATTGAAAGTTGATCCAATAAGGTCACCAAGGGGAGACTCCAGCCCCCACCCCACCACAGCCATAAAGCTTCCCCCCCCACCCTCCCAAGTAACACATGGCGCAGAGATCCCCACAGCATGCCTCAGGCAGGCAGCAGGCAGAGACAGGCTGTGCTGACCCCAAGGTGGATCTAGCTGGAACAGCAAACTCAGGACTACACAAAACAGGAAAAGCCCTGTCCTAAGGGGTCTTAGAGAAATGGTGGCAGGGAGAAGAGGAAGCAGCCATGATCCCTTCCACACCCCACCCCACCAGGGTGGGTTTAGACACAAGCATGGAGCCAGCATCCCCTGCTGGGCAATAAGGAGCCCTGGGTCTGCTCCCAGCTCTGACACTGCCCCACAGCATGACCTTGGTTGTGTCACTTCTCCCCCCACGCTCCCTCTCCTGGACAGGCCTGGCTTGTCTATTTGGGTCAGAAGCCCTGCAGGATCCCATGATAAATGTACAGTGCCTGGCGCAGAGCGGGTGGGCCTTGGTTAGCTGTGGCATTACAAAAAGAACCCATAGGTGCTGCACCAAAGGCATTTTTTGGGTCAATGTGGAAGATGGTTGGAACCAGAAAGTCTGCTGGAGACTCCCTATTGTGAGCCAGACCATGCATCAGACCATGCAAACAGACTGGAAATAATGAACAAGGAGGCTCCCACACATGCACAACTAGCCCAGAATTATCCTCTCTGGTCCCTTACCAGTGAAGTCCACCTTCCCATACAAGTCCTGGATCTGCGGCGCCAGCCCCAGCTTGAACAGGTACAAACTGCAGATTTAAAACCACAGCTTCATGAAAGGTGTTGGACTATCCATTTGTCCCCCCACCTCTCCACCTCCAGTGCCAGGGAACTGAAAACAGAAGGTGCATGCATTTTAATCTATGCAGCATATAACCAAGAGCTCTGTGCTCCAAGCGGGGCTGAACACAAAGCCGTGAGCACACAAGGCTCCCAGCTCAGCTACTGGCACCTGCAGCCCCATGCCTCAGTTTCCCCCCCACTGGAGACGCAGAAATAAGAGCCCTTTCTAAAGCACACCAGCATCTCAGACCCCAAACAGCGGCTCTGCCCTTGCCTTTGGGGGTCCACTACACCCCAGTCCCCTGCTCTGAACCAGGTCTGGTGTAATGGGCATATTGCAAACCCCAGTCCTCATGGGCAGCTGGTTGGGAAGCAGGAGAATTCAGGGAGTGGGCAGAGGTTAAAAAACACAAGGCATCCATATCTAAGCATCTTGTGCAGGGTCTGCAGCGGGTTTTCCCCTCTGCAAAACTGCACGGGTCACGGTATATTTTGCCACTGCATTTACTGAATGGCAGCTCCCAGCATAAAGGGGGAGGGGGTGGGGAGTGTGAGCCCCTGAGCCTGCCAGATGTCAAAAGAAAGTACACCAAGCAGCTTTGGGACAGGGAGGGGCTGGAAAAAATCCCAGGTCCTTTAGAGGCCTAAGTATGGCCTTAAACATCCAGTTTTAAGCTTTCAAGTCCCACCAAGGCTCCCCTGCAGGGCCAGTTAAGCACAGGAGAGACGGCCCCCAGGGATTATCCCAGACACCGCAGCTCTGCTCCAGCCTCACGCTGGGCCTGCGGATAGGAACGACAGCCGGCAGATGGTGCTAGCATCCTGGATAAAAACCCGGCAGCATACTGCTCCCTGCCGCATCTCACTGACCTCAGAGCATGGATGCAATAAACCACGCGGGGCATGTTTTTCTTGTCGTAGATGTCCGTGGTCTCGGGGTGGAAGATCTGCAGGGGTACAAAGGGGCAGGGCTCACAGGAGGACCAGACAGCAAGTCAAGCGTGCTCTGTTCTTCCCAGACAGCCGACAGGAGGGCTAAGCCACCTTTGGGGCAGCTTCCAGATTAGGAAGATCTGTGTTCAGCCTGCCCTGCGAGGGACTGGGAGGATCTTGTATCACTCGGGTTTCTGCTGCCATGCAGCATGCCTGAAAGGTCCAGCTCCCCAGCCCCAGGCGTCTCTGCACCTTGCAAGAGCAGGGTCACACATGGGAGAAAGAGCATGGCAGCAGAGAGGCCTCTGCCAAGTTTCCCAGCCCCATCTTAGCCTTCACACCTGCCTTTATGACTACAAACTGCAGGCAATACACTAAACCAGCATTTCTCAACCTGTGCGTCATGACCCAAAAGTGGGTTGCAAGAATATATCAAAGGGTTGCGAAGAAACTTTAGAAATGGATCAACAAACTTTAAATGTGGATTCTCCTTTAAAGGAGAAAAACAAATGTGGGAAACCTTGGCTTTTCCCTTGAAGACTAGCAGAGTCCCAGCCTGCAAGGGGCTGCTTGGGGCCCCTCCATGCCACATGCACCCCCTGCCCCACACCTCACACACTGGGGAGCAGCAGGTCAGGAGTGAAGGGCACTGGGTCAGGACTGGCCACCCATGTTTACAAAGGGGTCCTGGTACAAAAAGAGGTTGAGAACCACTGAGCTAGACAACTCGGGTTGTTCCCCGGCAGCATCTATTTCTGTTTTAAGAGTGGGGAGAGAAGGGGACAGGGCCCTCCAGGCCCTGCGCCCGGCTCCGGGCAGCAAAGCTAGCACATTACCGAAGGAAGCCCCACGTGGATCATGGCATCACGCCAGTAGTTGATGTTGTCTGTGTGCCGGAAGTGAAGTCCGTTGGCCTGGGGAAGAGATTGAACAGGGTGGGGATGGGTCCTTCCTTCTGGACAGGCTACTGCACCACGGTTCCTCAGTGGGTGCTTTGCACCTTCCTTCGAGGGCTGCTAACACTGGCCGCTCCATTAGACTTTGTTAGTCTATCAGGTGCAAATCTGCCCTGCTTTCCACCTACCAGGGTTTTTAAGCAAGGCTTTAACTCCTGAAGTCCCCTATTTGTAGCAGGGGCAGGCCTAGCCCGCTGCAGTCAGAGCGGCTCTGGCAGGACAGAGCGCCTGCATTGCTAGCAGCAAGTCATGCAAAATGCATCCCTCTGTCCTTCAGCTAGGCTGTCTGCTGAGCCCTGCAGGGCACGGACTCGTCGCCACCCAAGATCCGCAGGGGAAGCAGATGTTGGCTGGTGCCAGTCTCCAATGACTCATTTATGACAGACTCAAGTCCTGGCCATGTGAGACGAAGTGCTATCTCCAGCTTCAGCTTCCGTCACCAATAATCCAGTGCATGCAACTTCCCAGCCCTGCACACAGCTCCTCTCACCCTCGCTGGCCCGGCACTGCCAAGCTGGGAGGACAATTCAATCCCCTCCCAACAAAACCCTACAACTAGCCCCGGCCCCACGAGCCTCCCACTGCAAATCCATTCCCCCGACTCCCTTACCTTGTAGCGCATCTCCTCATGGTCGTAGATCTTCTTCAGAGGGACGATGTCTGGGGCAAAAGAGTGTCCCAGCTTGGCCAGGGTGACTCCGTTGCGTAAGCTCTCCTCCAGCTCCGTCGGGGAGGCCAGCTCCTCGTTCAGACAAGCCTCCATCCACCTGCCAAGAGACGGGGAATCAGTTGGGCGAGGGGGAAAGGAGCTGCATTTTCCCCAGCCCAGACCCTGTTACCATGCTGTAGAGAGCTCCCAGCCTCTGTCCTAAATGCAGATTTACTAGTGGAGTCAAAGCATGACACGAGCCATGCCACACCAGCACCACGTGCTTTGAGATGATGGAAATGCCCAACCTGGATGGGCTTGCATGCTTAGAGTGCACAAATTCCCTGACCCCAGATTGCAATGAAATACTCATAGCCTCATTCCCAGGTTGAAAAATAACAGCTCAGCTCAGCTCCAGGGTGGCATTTCCAGAGCCAGACTGTAAAGCAAATGCTCATGGGACAAGGCGAAGGCAACGCCCAGCATGCAGGAAAGAGTCCGGGGAGGTCGACACCACCCTAAGAGCTCTTTCAATCAGCCCGGCCTCCTTTGCATCTCACCGCTTTGCCTCCTCCAAGTGACACAGATACTGATAGGCGACGTTCTGTCTCCTTTGCTCATCCATCTCGTCTGCCGTGAGTCGTTCATCTAGACAAGGACACACATGCCAGGTCAGATGCACACCGATGCCAGGTCAGACACACGCAGAAGCCCGAGCTTCAGCAAACCACACACACCAAAGAGCACATATTGCATTTAAAAAAATTAAAATCTTTCCTTTCATTTTTCCAACATGTGTCATCTACTGGCATCTCCCTGCAGGACTTGCAACAGGATATTGGATCTGGGGGAATCTGAAAGCTTAACTGACCAGCCTGGTCTGAGCCAAGTAAGATACAACCTCACGGCACCCAGATCTATTTCGACAAGCAAGAAGTCATTGCCAAATTACCCTCCTGGTTTTAATAGATTTTTCTAACCCTCCTTTTAGTTAGTCAAGTGTTAGCTCAATCCTATGTATTTATATGGGGTTTTTAACTTCGATTACACAGATTTTTTTTTTTTTGTAAATCCTCTTCCTTGGATCTCAAGGGCGTCTTAACCTCCTTCCTCTCCTGCAGTGGCAGGACTCTGGCAGTGCCCTCGTCCCCCTGCTTTACCTGGGGCAGGTTAGAGGGTGTTTTGAGGTCTTGTGGTGGTAATTGGGCATGAAACTTTTCCACAAAATTTAAGAGCAGGTCAGACAAACACTTGGCTGAGATAGTTTAGACAGGGCTGATCCTACCTCGAGCAGAGGGCTGGACTAGATATCTTGAGAGGGCCCTACCAGCCCAGATTTCTATGACTCTGAGGCTACAAACGCATCAAATTTATCCCAGGATAAACCACTTTATCCCAGGACAAGCTGCAATCACTCATACATCCTGGTCCCTTGTCCTGGGATAAATCCCGCCCCCCCGCGCGCAAAAAATTTTCCCGGCTAAGACATAGTAACTATTTTATTCCAGGATGCAGAGTGCATCTGTGGTTGTCCCAGGATTGTATCATTGAATCTACCGCAGAAAAACACCAGCGCATTCAGATGCTCGCTGAACCCGGATCGGAAGGGTTGTGCATGTATGGGCCGATCTCGGGATATTTTTATTCCAGGATAAACACCGGTGTGATTTATCCAGGGACAAATGCAGTGTCTGTCTAGCCAGAAGACCTCACCGGAGCATCGAGCCCAGCTGAGCCTTAGACCCATGATCAGAAGCTCCCCTCCCCGGTGTAACAGGCCAAGGGAAGGGACTTTATCCAAGGAGCATGAATCACCCCGTGGGCGAGGAGACGGACATCACAGCCCCGCTGCCAAAGGGGCACATGACTCAGGAGCCCTCCCCAACGGCCGGCCGGGAAGCTCGGGCTGGCAACGGAGCTGGTTTTCCCCTCCCTGGCTGCAGTGGAAAGGAGGAGTGGAGGTAGAAACAAGGCTCTTTTGTCCTTGGCCCAAACATTCGCCCGTGCACAACGGCTCCAGGCAGAGACACAGGCGCAGAGCCCTTGTGTGCCCCCCAAATACCCGCAAGCATCCCCAAGGACCCTGCCACCCCCCAACTCCCGCCCTGGCTCTTGGCTACTTTGCAGACCCCCCTGTCTGCTCCCCTTTCCAGAGACTGGCTGCCCGCGCCCAGGTCCGACCCAGTCCCTGCCGTCCCCTGCCTCAGCCCCCCGCATCCATGTGCCCCCCATAAGCCAGCCCTGACCCCCTACCACGCACCCTGAACCCCGCAGCTGCATCTGTCTATCCAGCCCTGGTGTGTCTGTGGGTCCACATACACCCAGCCCTGTTTGCAACCCACCTCTTCTACAGCAAACCCCCACCCCACCCGTGTCCGTGGGTCTGGCCACACTAGAGCCCCATTTGTCCATCTGCAACCCCTCTCTTGCATTGCAAACCCCACTCCACGGAGGTCCGGGGGTCTGTCTGCACCCAAGCCCTGTCTGTCCGATTGCAACCCATCTCTGCCAGTGTACCCCACCCCTGACCGTGGGCCTGGCCGCACCCATGATCTGCGTGTCTGTGATTGCAACCCCTCTCCTTCATTGCAAACCCCACCACCCTGGCGCCCCGCCAGTCTGTCTGCAACCTCTCTCCCGCACTGCGGCTCCCACTGCTCCCGTGTCCGTGGGTCTGGCCACACCCGGGTCCTATCCGTCTGCTTGCAACTGCGCTCCTCTATTGCAAACCGCCCCCAGCGCCTGTGTGCCAGAGCCCAGCCTGCCTGTCTGCAAGCCCTCTCCCTCCTGCAGCCTCCCCCCGCCCCTGTGTCGGTGGGTCTGCCCACGCCCGCCCGGGGCCTGCCTGTGGGTCTGCAAAGCCCCCTCCTGCATTGCACCCCTGTGCCCATGCATCTGGCCACACCCGAGCCCGGTCTGTCTGTCTGCAACCTCCCCCGTACATTGCAACCTTCCCCTTATATTGCAACCCCCACCCTTGTATTGCGACCCCGCGGCCGCCCG